TGTATGTGTATATATATATATATACATACATATTTCACATATCTCACGAGGGCGCAATCTCCCATACTACTGTTTTGTACCGAGTGTACTGACTGAAAGGGAACTGAAAAACTCACAGAGAGAAAACATTTATAGAAATTTTGTTAGAGAACATTTACATTTGGTGAATATTAAATAATAACTAAAGAATCCTAGCATAAACAGTGTTTGAACATATCATGTTAATTTATTAATAAGATAACCTGATATTTGAAATTAACACAAATCTAAATGTTGGATTATTAGCTCTACAGCTGAAGAAAGAATTGCTGTTTCACCTGCAACATGATGCACCTCGGCTTGAGAACAAAATGTGCAGAATAATTAATAATAATAAAAAAAAGAAAGAAAGTCCTTTAAAATCCTGAATCAAAATGCTGGTCCAAAAAGTTTGTTTCAGTTTTGTTGTGGTTTTTCGGAGAAGAAAACACCAGTTCACACTTAAAAGAGGTCCTGTTTGATTGGATGGTGGCTCGTTGTTTATTTGCGGAAGTGGATAAGGATTGGTTGCCTCCCCCTGATGGTCACTTGAAGTATTACATGGACTTCCAGTGGCGACTCCTGCTATGTTACTGCTCTCAGTGGTGACAATGAGTATGACACGAGTTTTAAATTTTATGAAACAAAAAATACTTTTCAAAATTAATGATTTATGCTGTTGTAAATTCACTGAACTGTGCAAAAAAGTAAAAAAAAAAAAGTTCATAAGCACATTTAGCAGAAAATGAAAAAACAAAATACACAAAAAAAACGTCTTAAACTGTGTTTTCCGGAAACACAACATGCCCTTCCACTTCTACACCGATGACTGTCAAATTTACTTCTCCCATAAGACACAATGGTACATGCTCTATTCAACCTCTGTTCGACTGCCTGGCTGACATCAGGGACTGGATGGCTTTAAATTTCTTAAATTTCAATGAAAAGAAGTCTGAAGTCATGTTGTTCCCTCCTAACGACACGATCACAAACCACTGTATCGACCTCTCCGTTCTATCCCTGTCAGAAAAACAAAGAGTCACTAATCTGGGAGTGATAATGGACCCTTCCCTGAAACTTAACAGTCACGTAAACATGATTGTTAAATCATGTTTCTTCCAACTGAGGCGGCTGTCTAAACTGAAGTCCATATTGTCCAAAAATAATCTGGAGACAGTAATACATGCATTCATTACATCTAGGCTTGATTACTGCAATTCGCTCCTGTTTGGTATCAGTCAGACCTCCATTGCTCGACTACAATTTATCCAGAATGCAGCAGCCCGATTTTTAACCTGTACAGGCAAAAGAGAGTACATTACACCAGTTTTGGCCTCACTGCACTGGTTACCGGTTCACTTTCAAATTCAGTTCAAAATACTCCCGTATGTCTACAAATCACTGAACAGTTTTGCGCCCCCCCATCTCTCTGATCTGCTACAACCATATGTCCCACCACGTTCCCTGAGGTCAGCGGACCAGTTGCTCCTCACAGTTCCAGGAACTCGTCTTAAGCGCAGAGGTGACAGGGCCTTCTCTGTAGCAGGACCAAGACTTTGGAACGAGTTACCTCTGCTTGTCAGACAGGCCCCCTCCCTTTCGATTTTCAAGTCCCGTTTAAAAACACACTACTATTCGGTAGCTTTCAACACCAGAGGATCTGTATTTTGAACCTGTATGCTCCACACTGGTTAGTCGTCATTATCTGCATCGTTTTTAGGTCTATATTTCTGTTTTACTTCATTTTGTATTTTGCTTTGTATGTTACCTGTTGTTCTGTCTGTACAGCACTTTGGTTGGCCTTGTCGCTGTTTTAAGTGCTCTATAAATAAAATGGTATGGTAAACTTGTTTATTTGCAGAATATTTAATACACACCAGCAAAGTGTTTCAAAGAAACAACAAAATAAGATGATTAGAACATTTCTGCCATGTCTTTATTAATGGCATGTAAAAATTCTTAAGTACAAGATTAAATCTTTCAAATGCTGTGCAAGAAGGACGAGGTGTTTTCCTTTCTTTTTACTATGATTCACAAAGTCCATAAGTATAATTTTAAGTCAAATGAAGAAAAAGGCCATTAATCTGGCCTTTTTTGAGGCCTAGACATTTACAGAGTACATGCATGTATAGGAACTTTATTTTCTGGCACATCTTGTTTTTTTGTGTAAGCTTATGGGGAATACATATTTTTACTTCTAACATTGGAGTATTTTTTCTCTCAATTTTGTAATTTTTTTGTCATGAGAAATGTGATTAGAAATTGAATAATGGAAAAACAGAACAATTTATATTACCTTCATAATCCCACATTTATCTGATGTCTGACAAAATCCAATGTTTCACAGACATAAAGTAACGTTTCTGGAGTTTCATTTGATGAAGAGAGGGAGCTTTTTTTCACAGATCCAAAAGTTATTATCATAGCATGGTATGTCATTCCAATTGTTTTCTCTGTCATGAAACCTTATCTCCACACAGTCTTCTTTTTTGCCTTGATAATTATTGGGTTCTCCATGGTTCCAGTAGCTGGAACAAAAAAAACACACACACAATAAAAAGTAGACTGCATCAATTACAAAAATAACAACAATAATTTTTTAAAGAATGCATTATCTTGACACACATTTATGCACAACGAAACACCACCTTATCTTGGTGGAGGAGTTTGTGCGCCTGATAGGGATGCACCGATCCACATTTTGTTACTTCCCGATACCTAAATCTGGATATCGGCCAATATCGATACCATCCCGATATCATCATCATTATTGATTTTATATGAGGCTGTAATAATCTCCTCTCTATAGGTAAGTACAATTTGTACAAATATATGCATGTCCAAAAAGGCAACATGAGGTAAGTTTTATTAATGTTGGATAAGTTTCAAAGTTAGAATTAAATCCTGATAACACAAAACATGTTTTTTTTATTCTTGAATTTAAAGTGGATATTAAAGTGATTAAACAGCTTTAAACATCTGCTAAGTTCATGGCATAAACCAACACAGACATGTTCCTGTTTTAATTATTTTACATCACTTTATGATGTAGCTCTTTTTATTTCATTTTTATATATATATAATTTTCTTGTATTTTTCAACTCATATGCTTTTTATGATTGTCTACTGTTGTACTGATAAATATATCCTGGAGGGTAAACTAGATCTTGGCTGCAAGTATTAAGCTGCATAATCCTTCGTTTTCTACAGCTGATAGCGGTTGGTCATTAATTACAATGAAATTCAGCAACTTCTCTGTAAACAATCAAGCTGCTTCAGCGGTGTGTTATTCTCGTTCAGTCCGAAGAAGGCAGTCTGATTTTGGTTGGCCGCGCTCAGTCTGCCCCTCCTCTGAGATGGGCATACTGAGCAGAGCAGACTGAGCGGGGCAGACTGAAATCAGACTGCCTTCTTCGGTCTGAATGAGAATAACACACCGCTGAAGCCATGGAGCTCCAATGTAAAACTAACTTTACCGCAGTTTAATGTGGTGCTATGTTTGATTAATTTTGTTGTATTGTAGGTCGTGACTGAGCTGCCTCCTCTCGGTACAGCGGTTCTGCAGATATTGCTCATTGCTGTCTTGTTTTGTGGTGTTTCTAGTATACTTCCACTCAGCGGACATGTTAAGATGAAAAGTTGGTTAGCCGTTAGCCGCAGTGCTGCTCTGCTCACGTTTTAGCTGGCTGCAAACTATGAAATGGATTTCCTGAATGTGAAGCGGGTCTTATTACTCTGGGCCATGAGACACGGCTTTGTTCAGGAAATCCATTCCGTAGTTTGAAGCCAACTAGCAGAGCAGCTGGCAGGGAATCACATGTGGAGACGTTTCAGCAGACACAGACATGCATCATGGATCGGAAATCCCTGCAGTTTAGATCGGAAAAATCCGATACGTAAATTATGCTGGTATTGGAGCCCGATACCGATACTGGATCGGATCGGCCCCCTCCCTAGCGCTTGAATGATCCTAGGAGCTATGCTGTTCGGGGCTATTGTAATTGCCTCTAGTAGGATCTCCCAAGACAGACTGGATCTAGGTGACAGGCTAGACAAAGAGCAATTCAGAAGACTTATATGGACAAAAGAAAACAAGGAGCTCAGCGTACCTTGCCCAAACGTGGGTTACCTGGGCCCCACCCTGGAGCCAGGCCTGGGGGAGGGGCTCGTTAGCAAGCACCTGGTGACTGGGTCTCTACCCATTGGGCCCAGTTGGGCTCAGCCCGAATGAGTAATATGGGTTTGTCTTCCTGTGGGCCCACCACCTGTAGGAGGGGCCATATGAGCCAGGTGCATGATGCCATGGGGGCCTTGATGCTCTGACCCTGGCTTACCAAAACTGGCTCTTGGGACATGGAATATGACCTGTCTGGCGGTGAAGGAGCCTGAGCTTGTGCGTGAGGTTAAGAGGCACCAACTAGATATACAATAGTTGGGCTCAGCTCGATGCACATTATGGGCTCTGGAACCAATCTCCTTGAGAGGGGCTGGACCTCATTCCACTCTGGAGTTGCCCATGGTGAGAGGCGCCGAGCTGGTGTGGGTCTACTCTTAGCCCCCCAACTTGGTGCCTGTGTGTTGAAGTTTTTCCTGGTAGATGGGAGGGTAGCTTCCCTGTGCCTTTGGGTGGGGGGTGGGGGGGGGGGGGGGGGGGGGATGGAATCTGACGGTTGTATGTCCCTATGTACCAAACGGCAATTCAGGTATTTGGTCTTCTTCGAGTCTTTGGCGGGGGTGCTGGAAGGTGCACCAGCTGGGGACTCCTTTATTCTGGCGGGGGATTTCAATGCCCACATGGGTAATGCAAGTGTGATCTGGATGGGTTTGACTGGAAGGAATGGCCTCTCTGATCTGAACCCGAGTGGTGTTCTGTTGTTAGACTTCTGTGCTAGTCATAGTTTGTCAATTACAAACACCATGTTTGAACATAAGAGTGCCCATAGGTGCACTTGGTACTAGGACGCCCTACGTCATACATCTATGATTGACTTTGTAGTTGTGTCATTTAATTTGCGGCCATTTGTTTTGAACACTCGGGTGAAAAGAGGAGCTGAGCTGTCGACTGATCACCACCACCAGTGAGTTGGATCAGATGGTGGGGGAAGATGTCAGACAGACCTGGTAGACCCAAACATGTAGTGAGGGTTTGCTGGGACCACCTGGTAGAAGAACCCCTCAGAAAGATCTTCAGCTCACATCTCTGGGAGAGTTTTAACTGCATCCCAGCTGAGGTGGGGGACTTTGAGTTAGAGTGGGCCATGTTCCACACCTCAATTGTTAAAGTGGCTGCCTTGAGCTGTGGCTGCATGATTGTCAGTGCTTCTTGCTGCAGCCATCCTCAAACTCGGTGGTGGACACCCTGGGTTAGGGAGGTTGTCAAGCTGAAGAAGGAGTCTTATTAATCCTTGTTGGCAGGTGGGACTCCAGAGGCAGCTGAGGGGTACCTGAAGGCCAAGCAGTCCACAGCCTTGGCTGTTGCTGAGGCAAAAGCTTGGATGTGGGAGGAGTTCGGTGAGATCTTGGATAAACACTTAGGTCAGCTTTGAGGAGATCCTGGCAAATCATCAGGCGGTTGAGGAAAGGAAAGCAGCTCTTTATTAAGACTGTGTTCAATGACGGTGGGGTGCTGTTGACCTCAACCAGTGATGTTGTCGGGAGGTGGAAGGAATATTTCTCAGACTTTCTCAATCTCACTAGCACATCTTCCATGGAGGAAGCGGAGTCAGGGGACGTCAGGGTTGGTCTCTCCATAACCATGGCTGAGGTTGCCCAGATAGTTAAAAAAGCTCTGCTGCGGCAGGGCTCCAATGGTAGTGGAGATTTGACATGATTTCCTTAAGGCTCTGGATGTTGTGGGGCTTTCTTTGTTGACACGCCTTTGCAACATCGCATGGACATCTGGGTCAGTGCCACTTGGTAGACTGGGATAATGGTTCCACTCTTCAAAAAGGGGGACCAGAGGGTGTGCTTCAATTACAGGGGAATCACTCCTCTTAGCCTCCCTGTTAAAGTCTATTCAGGGGCACTGGAGAAATGAGTCCGATGGTTGGTCGAACCTCAGATCCAGGAAGAACAATGTATGTTTTGTTCTGGCTGTGGAACACTGAATCAGCTCATTAATCTAACTGGGGTCCTCAAGGGGTCATGAAAGCTTTCCCGTCCAGTCTATGTGTTTTGTGGACTTAGAGAAGGCATGCAACCATGTTCCTCGGGGTACACTGTTGGGGGTGCTCTGTATGGGATTGGGGGTTTGTTGTTACGGTCTGTTCAGTCCCTATACAAGCAGTGTGAGAGTTTGGTTTGCATTGCTGGTAAAAAGTCAGACCCCTTCAGGGTGGGAGTTGGACTCTGCCAGGGCTGCCTGTTGTCACCAATTCTGTTTATAACTTTCTTGGTGCAGCCAGGGGGTGGAGTGATTCTGTTTCGGTGGCCTCAGGATTCCATCTCTGCTCTTTGTAGATGATGTGGTCCTGTTGGCATTATCGTGTTGTGATCGTCAGCTTTCACTGGAGCGGTTCACAGCCGAGTGTGAAGCGGCTGGGATGAGAATCAGCACCTCCAAATCTGAGGCCATGGTCCCCAATAAGAAAAGGGAGGATTGCTCACTTCAGGTCGAGGGTGAGGTTTTGCTTCAAGTGGAGGAGTTCAAGTATCTTGGGGTTTTCTTCACGAGTGATGGAAGAATGGAGCCTGTGATTGACAGACAGATTGGTGCAGCACCTCTAGTATTGCAGACTCTATACCCATCAATTGTAGTAAAAAGAGAGCTGAGCTGTAAGGCAAGGCTCTCTGTTTACTGGTAAGTCTATGTTCCTACCCTCACCTATGGTCACGAGCTCTGGGTAGTGATCGAAAAAATGAGATTGCAGATACAGGTCATTGAAATGCATTTCCACCGCAGGGTGAATGGACTCTCCCTTAGAAAGAGGGTGAGAAGTTCAGTTATCTGGGAAAGACTCAGAATAGAACTGCTGTTCCTCCACATTGAGAGGAGACTTTTGAGGTGCTTCAGGCATGTCTGACTGTGAGGAAACACTGGGGAAGACCCAGAACAAGCTGTAGAGACTACATCTCTCAGTTGGCCTTGGAATGCTTTGGAACCCTCCCAGAAGAGCTGGAAGAGGTGGCTGTGGAAATAAATTGTCCTCCCTGCTCAAGCTACTGCCCCCGTGACCTGACTTCGGAACAAGCAGAATATAATGGATGGAAGAATGGATGGATAAACACAGAACAAATTACATGAAGAAAAATATTAATTGTAACATTTCTTATAGTATGAAATGATTCACAAGACAAAAAGTTTAGCTTTTGTGTGCCAAAAAAGGTAAAACACCTTTTGTTCATTGGAGTCCCATCTACCCATTTCCACTGACGTGTCGTTACTGAGTTCTTTAGCCCAATCCACGTGAGCCTGTGAAACAGTCTCATAAAGTCCTTACAAAAAATGGGAGACAAAATTGCATTCATTATATTTTTTACACCTTTATGCACAATAATACACTTTCACACAGTTGCATAAGCACTTTTACCTGTTCTTCTTTGGTGTTTATGATCACTAGATCTGCGCCTTGTTGCCGACAGTACTTTTGACTCTCGTGCCAGGATTGTTTGGTGGATGAAATGTAATAGAAACTTGAATGGAAATACACCCACCCTTGTTGAAAATACTGATCTGTTACAAAGAAGAAGAAGAAGAAAAAAACCCCAAACATTAATATTTCTGGAGTTTAAAATTAAACTTACCCCATATACCTAAAGGTCCCAACTTTTATTCTCTCTCTCACAAGATTCTCAGTAGCTTTTAAAGAAAAGTGGTAAAAGCAAAATAGATTAAAGTAATAAAATAATACTTTGCTTAGAGGGTCAATACTTGAGGTTGTAGATGATATTATCAAAATTTATCTGACATACATTGTATGTTACCAGATCAGAACCTAAATATTTAGATAATAGGTGTCATGTAAAGCATTTTTCTTCCTATCACTTACCAATTATCACATTTTTGCCAACAGTCTGAAGACCTGATGTCTGAGTGTCTGAAAAAGTAGAAACACTTGTCAGCCATCTGTTCAAAAGCAAATACCTGTGGCTACATTATTATACAAACTGAAGTTTGAGTAGGTTTATATGCAGGTGGTTAAATATGATGCATGGGTAAACAAGACAATTCCCTTTTTGTTTTCTCCTGTGATTTCTCTCTCTTTTCTTAAAGTTCCTCTTCGGTTCAGAGGTTTCACAACAAGCTGTGTTTTCCCTTTGAAATTGTCCATTTGTGTCATTCTTGCTGCCTATGTGCTGGGAAATCCCTTAATAATATGTTGTCATCGTGAAGCATAGACATTCCCAATTTTAAATGAAGAGTTTTAATTATCCTACATCATTATAGACCAGTAAAATATGACAATTATGCCCTAATTATATAGCATAAATAAATAAATAAATAAATAAATAAATAAATTGCACCAAATGGAAAAAGTAAGCAAATCAGCAGTGCTTGGTGGTTAAACAGCTTATTGGAACTCCTCAGACTGATGAAGCCCTTCGGATAGAGGGTGAAACGTCTCTATAAAAAAAAGAAACTGTCCAGATGACCTGACAGAGTTATTGGATTTGATACCTGGATGATTGAGCATAAACTTTGTTTCCTAATCAGCAGAGGCCATTTTCCACACTATCATGTCTCAGTAAATATGACACCCAGGAACCCACAATTACTGACATTAAAAATTATAAGGTGCCCAACTTTCTCTTATAGTTCAGTTCCTTACATTCTGAGAAACTGGCCCTCAAAAAAGCAAAATTGGTTAAAAATGACTACAACCAAAAAAGTGCAAATAAATAAATAAAAGGCAAATACTGTATTTACACTAGTGCTGTCAATCGATTACACATTTTAAATCAGATTAATCACACTCTGGGGCTGTGATTAATCACGATTAAGCACTATGCTTAACTTTGTAAGCTTGAAATGTAAATATACAGGTTTTCATAAAATGATGAAGAAAATGTTTAATTGTCTCAAACCAAACAGTTTTTCAGGTTTTCATACTCAGCAAGGTTTACAGAAGTAATTTAGTTTCAAGTATTAAATTTATAAATATGTTACATCAAATGTTTCATTAAGTGTCATTTATGTGATCAAAACATGTAACCCTTCTTCTTCTTTTAATATGAAGGACCCCACACACCCAGCACACACAGTTTTTGCCCCGCTCCCATCAGGTAGGAGGTTGAGGAGCATTAAGTGTAGAACCTCTAGACTGAAGAACAGCTTCTACCCTAAAGCTGTTAGACTCATGAATCCCTACTCAGGATTATCATTGTGAAAAAAAAAATCACTCTAATGCCACTTGATTGCTGATATGCGCTGCTGACTATCCACGTTGCTGATCTTATGCTGCCGATTTATTTCAAGCTGCTGTGTTCATTTGTACTCATCTACTCACACAGACTCATGTTCGTGCTGCTGTTGTTCAGCATATTGTTTTCGTACTACTAGTGCTTAGAGTATTTTTAGTTTAGCGTATTTTTTAGTTCATATCTTAGATTTTATTACTGTTTTTCTGTCATGTGCGGCCGTCAGGAGTGTTTGAACCCACGTGCAGGAGGATGACGAGGACGCTCGAGGGATAATAAAAATATATTTATTAAGCAAAACAAAATCAAAATGCTGACAGGGCAGCTACTCACAAAACTGGAAACAGGCAGATCAGGACTGACAGGACAAAAGGCTGAACACGACACCATGGAAGGATAATCCCGAGACAAAGCAAAGACACCAGTGAACTGAATATATACACACACACTGATTAGGACAATGACAGACACCTGCAGTGATTAACATTAGGAAACATGAGGAAACAGACCAAACCAAAACCCCACATTTTCTTTACAATTTATACTTTTGTTGGATGTAACTGGGACCCTGTGTACACAATTTCATTCCACTACATGTGGTACATGCGCACAAAAAAAAGAAACTGTCCAGATGACCAGACTGAAAAATGTTGGATTGTATACCTGGATGATTGAGCATGGACTTTGTTGTTTTCAACCAGTTTGACAAGACTGTCAACAAGGAAGAGGGTCAGCAATGGAGGAGGGTGCGTACCAAAGAGACCATATTATCACAAGCAGAACTGGTTTGTTCCACTTTGGAGTAAGCTGTTGGGGGAAGAATCAGTTTTGTTGTGTGTTTCCTTGCCTGATGAAGCCTTCCGGATCAAAGGCGAAACGTTTCAGCACTAAAAAAAGAAACTGTCCAGATGACCTGACTGAAAAATGTTGGACAATTTTATATTGTGCATTCTTATTTAGTTTTCTTTTTGCTATGATTGGTAAAACCGCATCATAGAAGTCTGAGCCCACGTGCGCAATTATTGCACAATGCACCAGTGATCTCTTCACAGTCTGATTAACTGCTGCACTCTTCTTTCTTTCTTCATCTTCTCAACATATAAACTTACTGCCTCCTCCTCAACAAGATTAACACAATTTTGTATTGTGCATTCTTATTTAGTTTTATTTGTGCTGTATGATACATAAAACTGCATCAAAACAAGAGACTGACCCGGCCCGCACATTAGGCACATTATTATGGCCCGGCCAAATCCAGGTCGGGCGGGCCAGGCTCTGGGCCCGGGTTAGAAATGATAACTCTACCTCCGCAGGATAGAGGCCTTTATAGGTCAAAATAGGTAATGCAATTAATCTGTATTATGCAATAGTAACACGTACATTTTTTTTTAGATTAATCACATGCATTAATGCGTTAACATTGAGAGCCCTAATTTACACATCCACAAAAACTAAAGTTTTTGATGCAGCACATTGAAACTTTGCAGTTGGTAATGAGTTGACCCACAACTTGAAATTTAATGAGCAAAAAATAATTCCTGTCATAGAGAAAAAAATGACGAGCAAATATTTGTTGAGCATTTAGCCCCCAAAAAACTATGCAAATGTCTTTATCTTTAAGAGTACTTGTACAGGGTATCAATGCCCCTGTATAACCCCTCAGATAAAACTCGGGGTGGATGCAAAAGAAACCCAAAAACAACATACGTAAGACCTTTACAGCTTTTGCAGAACTATTTTTTGACACCATTCTTGTGAGCATTAGAGAAGTGAAAAATGGGCGTGGGATGCTTAGCATAGGGCAGCCCGAATACTTAAAATTAAGAACACTGTTATTTTAGAAGTGATGATGAACTGAGATAGTTCTGTGACACACTGATACATTAACTCAGTGCTTCTCAATTATTTTTTCTTACGCCCCCCCCCCCCCCGGGCAAAGGGAAAATTTCCCCCCCCCCCCCCCCCCAACTCTCCACCGCGACTGTAAATAGTATAATTTGTCTATAAAATTGTTATAAGTACACCTCTACATAACATTGTATCTTTATTAACATTAAATTTAAAAAAGATAGAAATATAGATCACTGATGACTCCCCCATCATCTGATGGGGGGGGGGGGGGGGGGGGGGTCGTGCCCCAAGAAAATTTTGAATAAAGTAGATGCCATTTCCTGCATTCTGGTGTATTTTAAAGGTTGTTTAACATCTAGTTTTACCTACACAAGTACACACTTGGAACATCTTGGGATTCTCCTGGAGGAGCTGGTCCAAGTGTCTGGGGAGAGGGAAGTTTGGGCCTCCCTAATTAGGCTGCTACCCCCGCGGATGGATGGAAGTAAACACTTGATTCAGTAACTATTTTAGAGTTAATGGCACAACAAGAAGTAGCCTGACCAACAGCTGATTCAATTAAATAAAAATATTATATATTCAAAGGTGACGATTTGATGCCCAAATTAAAATTAAATGCCTGTAACTTAGTTGACTTCAAATGTAACAAGATTATCAATGAATGTTTACAACAAAGGATTTACTGAGTATAACAAAGATTCCTTCAAGAAACCTCCTAATATAAATCATAAAACCATAATGACTTCTGCTCCTTCTAAATTTGTCAAATGGTCTAATAAGATATATCCTGTAGCCATGTTTCTGCAAAGAATATTTAAATTTGATGTTGGGGGGGGGGGGGGGGGGGTGTCCAGTGGAATGCGCTCACAAGAGAAGAACCTGACAAGTTGTTTAATGACATAAATATATATTTTGTTAGCAAAGAATAGAGTCCTAACATTTGTTAAACATACGTTTTTCAAACAAATAAAAAAACATGAAAACTGTATTTTGACAGTGGATAAAAATATGTATATAATATATGTTGTCAATGTGAAAGAGGAAAGAGGGGGCAGGTGTTGCTCTCGCTTTGAGTTTATCTTTGTTGCTGCGTGCTTTGGGTGAAATGCGTCCAGAGCGGAGGATTTGTTAGCAAAGAATAGAGTCCTAACATTTATTAAACATTACTTCTGTATTAAGAAAAACATCAAAATAGTGCTTTGACAAACCAAAAAACAAACAAACAAACAAACAAAAAAAAAACGTTAAAGTGATAGTGGGGTATATTAACGCGTGCTGTAGGTGACGAGCGTCACCAGCTGCTCAGCAGCAGAGGGAAGCGACACGGTTCAAGCATGGCTCCTCAACCAACAAGACAGACATATATTTGTTCATAACTTTATTATTAGTAAGACTGACAGTTGCCGGATTTTAGCAAACAGTTGCCGAACGCACCCTGACAAAATGAGAATGGTGCAAAAAAAAAAAAGAGAAAAAAAAAACTACTCCCTGCTGCAAAATGTTCCTGGGGTCACATGCGCCCCCCCAGCATTGCTCCGGCCCCACCCCAGGGGGGCGCGCCCCACTATTTGAGAAGGACTGCATTAACTCCTTGTGAACACAATTTTTGTTTGGTACATTTGTTTGATTATCTGACACCTGACAAAAACATGGGCAACCGTCAAAACAGAGGAATTATCGAAAAATCAGTCACATCTGAGGGTAAACAAAAATGAAAATTGTGTAAATAGAAGTATTTGATTTAGTTTATAACTGTTTTACTGAGAAGAATATGACTGAAAAGAGAGCTGTGCAGCACCACAGAGTGAATTAAGGTTTTTGTTTGTTCTTACTCAAAATCTTCCAAACTGGAAGCAACTTTCCATAGTTGTTATTTTTATCGTTGAAGTGTGAACTGAAATTGATCATATTGCTACTAAATTTGACAACAGCTTTGATAAGTAAGTCCGATCAAATCGAAAAGCTGTTCATACTTTTCAATAAATGCTTCCAGAAGCAAAGTTGCTGTTGTAGCTGCAACTCTGGAGGAGACCTGAAACACATCCTGGTTTAACAGCAGTGAAAAACATCTACTCACACAGAACGAGGCGCAAAGAAACGTTGACAAGAACTTGCAGGACACACAGGAGTCCAAACCCAACAGCAACCCCTCGGATCAGTTTTTCACCTGCATGAATGAAACAAACAGAAAAACCAAAGAACTGTTCACTTTTCTCTTCACATGGACTTTTATTCATTTCTGGGTGTGGCTGTTCAAACTAAAACCTGAGAAACTCACCGAGCTAAAAAATGTATATAAAGTTTGAACATTTGATGAATATTAAATAATAAATAAATAATCCTAGCATGAACAGTATTAATTATCATGTTACTTTATTAATAATGTAACCAGATATTTGAAACAGAAATCTAACTCACAGAGAGAATTTACCTGCAACAGGATGCACCTCTTGTTTGTCAGATCCATTTCTTGTCGATGCCTCATTAACATAATGCATTTTAATCTCAGCTCGCTGTCTGTGAACAGCTCTTTCAATTTTATCCTCAGAAGACACTGAAAAAGACAGGATGTTTGTGTTCTGATCTAACAAGGGGGAGTCAGGTCCTCTCAGCCGTTGCTTCTTATCTTTACAGCTGCTGCAAGCCCACCTCCACTTGAAAAAAGTCAGTCCTCACGCTTTTGGTTGTGCACGCAAACACCATGTATTACTCATGCTGACGAGGTACTTTCAAAATTAAAGCTGATATGTGACTCCTGTTGGGTACAACCACTGTACAGTACATAAAACATATAGTGGCATTCGAAGCTGTAACGGACCAACGTTCCTGCTCAACTGTTTCCACAAAAAGTTTTAATTCAGCCCCATATCCAAAGATAATTTTATGTTTGTAACTTAAATAACAAATATATATCTATATATATTTTTTTATTATCCTATCTATTAAATGTTTTAAGCTAAATTAAGCAAATTAGTGACAGCCTGAAGTCAGATAAACCACATGGTGTCCGTATTAGGGCTTTAACAGACTACTCGAGTAATCGACACATGGATTCATAGGACATCAATCGAGTTTTTAAATTTCATGTTGAGTATTCGTAGTGACGTCATTAGGTCGCCGTTGCGTCATTGCGTCATGTGTCACATGATCCGCACTGGGTGCGGGTTACAAAATGGATTCCTCCAAGCAGATGGACTTAGCGGAGCAGGCCCAGTCTTGGCAAACAGGTAGAAATACATCAATAGTATGGAAATATTTCACTAAAGAGGAATCTTCTGGTTCAACTACCATAAGGAAACAGAAAATGAATCAACTTCCTGACTGTTTGGTGCTCCTTGCGAACCGGTGTTACACCATATTCTGTGACCACCGTATATTGTGACCCTAGGGGGCGGTGTTGCATGCATTGTTGCAGGTCGCAGAATATGGTGCAACACCGGGTCCAATGACCGAACCAGAATCAGCTTCCTCTGACCTTGTTTCACAAACAAAAAGCAAAAAACATTAATCTCTAAACCTATAAAAAAACCTATAAACATATTAATCTCTAAAACTAAACCTAATGCGCACCACTGCAGGCGGTGGTGCGGGGTGGTCGTCTGCCCCACTGTTTTTAGTTTTTGACGTGCTGCACGTTATTTCTTTCACTTTTGCAGTTTAATGTTAATAACTAACAGTTTTGTTTTTCCTGTGACTTATTTGCAGTATGATAAATGGTAGAAGCATAATATATGCTCCCAATGTTTTGTTGGTCTTTTTTTTGTAAATAATAAATTACGTTTTTGCGGTTTTATTTATTTTATTTTTGCGTCATGAGATCCTATGACGTCATCAAGTACTTGAGTTCTACTTGAGTTTTATTATGTTAATGTTGAGTTTAAAAATTATGTAGTCGTTCAACCCCTAGTCCGTATCCATGATGACATCAGAAAGGAAGTCCATAGTTTACAGTTTGGTTAATGTGCTTTTAATAGTGTGTTCAGTTTTCTTATCAGTATTTATGTGACATGACAGTTTGTGGAAGGTGTTGAATAAATAAATAAAAACTAAGCCTGATACTGGTACTGTGAAAACGTGGTTTAAGGGGGACAAATCTGAGAGCGGGGTCCGAGAGACAAAGCAGGACCAAGTACAGGTGGTCCGATTTCCAATAAAGTCTGAGGGATAATCCGTGAGATCTAGTCGTTTGGTTGGAAGAGGAGTTCATTACCGTGATCAGAGAGGCAGAGCAGAACCAGATGAGGAGCAGGCAAAAATGGGAAATCCAGAAGGCAAGGCGTGAGGTAGAAAATACAATAGCAAGGCTTGAGGTTCAGGCATGAAACAAGAAAACTATGATGGCTGGAAAATCAGGGACCATGGGAGGTGTAATAATCTGGAAAAGGACAAGTGAAAGTGGAACTCTTAAATAAAATCAAGAACATGTGCAGTGAATCAGGGCTGAAAGTGCAGAGGGAGACATGGCTGAATGACAGAGCAGAAAACATGTCATGAAGGGCTGTGAGTGAGGCAGGGGACAGAGGAAGAGATAAGGACATAAAGGGGAAAAGACTTGAGCAGATGGGGGGCAAGCAGAGACCGCTGCTCATGACAACCGTAGATCATTCAATGTTTGCGGAAATGGACTAGGATTTGTGGCAGCATGGTGGCGCAACTGGTAGAGCTGCTGCCTCTCAGCGAGCAGGTCCTTGGTTCAAACCCCGGTCCAGGGGCCTTTCTGGGTGGAGTTTGCATGTTCTCTCCTTGCATGCATGGGTTTTCTCCGGGTACTCCGGTTTCCTCCCACAGACCAAAAACATGCATGTTAGGCTGATTGGTAATTCTAAATTGTCCCTAGGTGTGAGTGAGAAAGTGAATGGTTGTTTGTCTCGTTTGTCTCTGTGTGGCCCTGTGATGGACTTGCGACCCGTCCAGGGTGTACCCCGCCCCTCGCACAGTGATTGCTGGACATGGGCACCGGCGACCCCCGTGACCCAAAATGGAATAAGCGGGTAAAGATAATGGATGGATGGATGGATGGATGGACTAGGATTTGTTACCTCCCCCTGGTGGTGACTTGAAGCATTACACAGATTCCGGTGGTGACTCCTGACATATTACTCCTCCCTAGTGGTAATAACGAGTATCACATTGGAGTTTTCAGTTTTATGAAGTAAAAAATAGTTTTAAAAATTAACTTGTATGTTCACTCAACTGCGCAACAAAGTAAAAAAAAATTAAAAAAAAATAAAGTCATGAGCACATTTAGAACACAATGAAATAAAACCATAACAAGAAACCTCTTAAACTTGTTTATTTGCAGAATATTTAATACACTCCAGCAAAGTATAACACATAAATAACAAAATAAGAGGATTAGAACATTTCTGCCATGTCTTTAGTGAAGGTGTGTAAAAATTCTTAGGTACAAGATCAAATCTCCCAAATGCTGTGTAACAAGGTATTTTCTTTTTACTTTGACTCTCAAAATTCACAAGTATGATTTTAAGTCAAGTGAAGAAAAAGGCCATAATTCTTGTCATCTTTGAGGCCTAGAGTTCTATTTCGTATAGGCTTCGCCCTTTAAGGCTATCGCTGGTGGGTTTATCCGTCATGCAAAGCATCGCACTGAAAAAATTTAGTCCACGCCCACATGTTGTGTTGGCCCCACCTGCTCTGTATAAATTACGTTAAGAGCGGGTAATCGGCTCCCATTTTTCTTCAGCAAGCTAATAGCACTGTCAGAAGAACGAAGAAAGAAAGTTGTCTAGCTTGACCAGCACAACCTTTGCTAAGGCTGCCTGGGTCCCCGCCACGCCAATCTCCTGCCGTCCCTGTGAGTTCTCCTCCCCGAGGAGAAGCAGATGAGCAGCCTTGTTTCAAGGTAAGTGCCGAGGAATATTTTCCGTGGCGCGTCGCTACACGCTGGACAATGCCATCGACCCTTTTTTAACGCCGAATCTCGGAGTAAATTGGATGGTTCCTCCGGGACAGGCGACGTCAGCAGCAGCCCCCACTGCTTGCTCCCTCCTGGAGAACGTAGTGTCAGAACGAGGGGGGCTGAGCGGATGCTACCCCCCCCCCCCAGGCCTTTTCGCATCAGCGACCACACTGCTCCAAGCCGTTGGTGCCTTCCTCTCGGAGCTGCCCGGCATAATCCAGGAGGAGGCTGACACGAAGGGACTTTCCGTCCCTCTCCTCCCCCCGCCCAGATCTGATGATCTAGTGGGAAGGTTTGGCTCCACCCCGGCTTGCTGTCCTGATCCCATCTGGCCTCATTTCCCAGCAGTGACGTCCTACTGGAACGAGGCTGCAGCCGGACCTGATAGACTGAGAGTGCCGGTTTCCAGATTCACACCCATCACCAGAGTGGAGGGGTTTACTGAGCGGAATTTCCCTCGGTGCCCCCCTGGAGCCAAGCCTGGCAGAGTCTCTCGGAGCAAAGATGTCCAGGTTGGACCAGCGTCCTGCACCTCTGGGGAAGCATGTTCAGACGGTGATGTTGCTCTCAAACCGAGCTCACCAGTGTGCGTTCCAGGTGGCCACAGCAAACAATAATGTTGCATTGCTGGCGTACTGCATCTCAAAGAGGCTGGAGGGAACAGACCTGCCTGAGGAGACAAAAAGCTCTCTCTGCAAGGCGTCTGACGTCATCCTCAACCTGTGTGCCTCTTCTGCTGTCTGCCTGTCTCGCATCGCAGACTGGATGACGATGTTCCAGAAGTCCACGTGGCTTTGTCACTCCCCCTCCCTGCTGGAGAAGCTGCAGAAGGACCTGCTGGAGGGCCCCATCATGATGGACGCACTGTTCAGAGCCAATTTCAAGGCTATGCTCGAGAAATCGAAGAAGTCGGAGGAGGTGTCGGAGACTGTGCGCCATCTGATCAAGCCGCACCCCTCCTCTCGCTCCCCGCCCGCTGGAGAAAGCACCGAGGCCAGAGACAGCAGCAGCTCCCGAGCGCGTGAATACCCCGTGGTTCCCAATTCTATGACGCCTGTTATCGGGGCGCCCGTGGAAACTGCCTTGGAGGGAGGATGCTCTCCTCCAGGCGGGAGGAGCAATCAAGAGTTACCCAGAAATAGGCCAGCACCTTTGGGTCTGGCCGCTGAGTGGATCCATTTAGTGAGGATGGGTCTCTCTCAAGATGTAGTGCGCACGATCCAGGATTCACGTGCTGTCTCCACCAC